CACACCTGATTCAAACCATAAGCTCAGTAGTTGAGTCCAAGGCCTGATAAAAGTGTCCGATAAGGGGAAAATCCAAAATGTGTAGCCTATTGTTGGTGGGCCCAGAACTTTTTTGTCAGCTGTACCCCTTATATGCAAAATATTTACCCATCCTTTTAGGTTTACAGGTATATTTCAAAAACGTATTGACACATTTGCATGTTCACATTTCTCTGATGTTGGTTAATAATTACATGAAATGCAAGTAAATAGATAAAATATTTATGTTTTTTTATTTTTTATTTTTTATTTTTTTATTTTTTGTAAGTGTTTTAATGCTACTTTGTAGCTGGACATGAAAGTGGAAACAAACTTTTTTTAGTTGTGATAGTTTCTCAGTTCACATTACATTAATACTGATGTTTTAGGAACTCAATAATAATAATACGTATTATTATTATTGAGTTCCTAAAACATCAGTATTAATGTAATGTGAACTGAGAAACTATCACAACTAAAAAAAGTTTGTTTCCACTTTCATGTCCAGCTACAAAGTAACATTAAAACACTTACAAAAAATAAAAAAATAAATAAAACATAAAAAAACATAAATATTTTATCTATTTACTTGCATTTCATGTAATTATTAACCAACATCAGAGAAATGTGTCAATACGTTTTTGAAATATACCTGTAAACCTAAAAGGATGGGTAAATATTTTGCATATAAGGGGTACAGCTGACAAAAAAGTTCTGGGCCCACCAACAATAGGCTACACATTTTGGATTTTCCCCTTATCGGACACTTTTATCAGGCCTTGGACTCAACTACTGAGCTTATGGTTTGAATCAGGTGTGTCTGATATACAACATGTACAGTGTTAGAGGGCAGTCAGCCTAGACTTTTATGATATTATCTGATGTCAGCTCTGTAGTTAGGCCACTTTTATCAGGCCTTGGACTCAACTACTGAGCTTATGGTTTGAATCAGGTGTGGTTGATAAACAACATGTACAGTGTTAGAGGGCAGTCAGCCTAGACTTTTATGATATTATCTGATGTCAGCTCTGTAGCGCCTTATTTAATAACATTAATTCAACATATAACAAATTTTTAAAAAATCCAAAATGTGAAAGTATATAATCAACTCCACATTCCTACAAAAATAGTGGCTTTAAAGTTTGTGTTTCAGATACGAGGTTGCACGGTGACGTATCAGTCTTTTATTGGTCACACGTTTTCACGTTAGTTCACAACTTCACACTTGATCTTTGGAACGCAGCGAAAAGCAAAACATCATTGCATGAGCTTGTGTTGCTGTCTCCAGCATGTGCATCCATATGAATGAAGCTGAATGGATTGAAAAGTGCAGTGTGCTAGAGTTTGGACTCACTGTTCTAGACACATAGGCTGTTAAAGGGATAGTTCACACAAAAATGAAAATTCTGTCATCATTTAATCACTCTCATGTTATTCCAAACCCATAAAACCGTAGTTCATTATTAGTTCATATTAGTTCTGTTTTAGACACATAGGCTGTTAAACGGATAGTTCACACAAAAATGAAAATTCCGTCATCATTTAATCACTCTCATGTTATTCCAAACCCATAAAACCGTAGTTCATTATTGAAACACAAATTAAGATTTTTAAGATTAACATTATGAAAACATGAATAAAGTCCATTCCCCTAAAACATTTTATAAAGACACTGCGAAAAATTCAAAAAAGTATTTAATACAGCAGTTTTATCAATGATCGCTTAATGAACAGATTTATTTTTAAGTCTTTTAGTCACTTATAAACATTGATCGATTTATTTAAGCCCAGTCGCATTCATTAAGTAACTGTTGACAGATTTTCATTTTAGGGTGAACTATTCCTTTAAGAAAAAGAGGCATCACTATAACATTAGTCCTATGAATTTTTACGCCTTTGATATGCAACTCATTCTGTACAGTTTGTTCTACAGACATGAATGAGACTTCAATTTATGTGGAGAAGCAGCATCAGACACCACATTTTTAAATATTATTATTAAAAACAGAAAATGAAATTGGTAATATTTACTATTATTATTTATAGTACACACACACACGCACGCACGCACGCACGCACACACACACAATATCTTAATATAAATATTGTTCATTTAACATAATAATATAATATATTCCAAATGTATTATCTACTGTAAATATTTAATAGCTATGGCTTTTACAGTAGGAAAAGAAGAGAAGAGAAGAGAAGAGAAGTTATATCAGGACATGCGATACTGCAGAAACTGAGTAAAGCTACTGACCTCATTTCAAATGCAACATTGAACAGTAAAACTTGCAGTTCACATCTGCAATCCAGTCACATCTGTAGAAAATATCAAATTTCTGCATGCATTCTAATGTATCTTTGAAGAGTATGAACGATAATAATAGGGAAGCTTGCCTTAATAAACAAGAATATGTACACATATTCATTTAGTCAAATATAATTGTTCATTTAAGTATACGAGCGTCTTTAATACATTTAAATCAGACTAGTATAAAGTGGCACTCTTTTCAAGATATGAAATCAAACATGCTCGAGTGATCTAAAGTGCTCGGAGTGATTATTATGATAGATGAACACAAGAGGGCACTAGAGCATTACCTTCAACAGTTGAGAGTTCCTCTGAATGAAGAACTGGCTTCTTTTTCTTTTCCCCCTCCACTTCCTGCTCTCGTGGTCACTGTGTTCTTGGCAGGGTGGCACTGCAGCGGCAGGCACGGCTGTCACCAGCTGACACCACTCAGCTAGTCCACGTCACAGGTACACAGACCACAGGCTTTCTGTGAGTCATGCTCTCACTTCCGAGAAGCCCAGGGTGAGATGTGGAGATACCAGGTCACTTATGTGGCCCTTGGGCAGAGAGTCAAACACGTGTTTTATGGTCCTCTCTTTCTCACACTGCACCGTCAGCAGTTTTCCCACAGGCATAGCATTACCAGCTGTGCTTCTGGAGCAGGGCCTTCATTTCACCATATCTGCTCTTCCGCAATAATTCTGGAGCCAAAGATTTTATGGTCTTCTTTTCAAATTTTTGCACTGGTTCAAACAGTACAGGATAAAAATGCCAGATTCGATCTATCTATCTATCTATCTATCTATCTATCTCTGTCTGTCTGTCTGTCTGTCTGTCTGTCTGCCTGCCAGCCTGCCAGCCTGCCTGCCTGTCTGTCTGTCGGTCTGTCTGTCTGCCTGCCTGGCTATCTGCCTGTCTGTCTATCTATCTATCTGTCTGTCTGTCTGTCTGTCTGTCTATCTATCTATCTATCTATCTATCTATCTCTGTCTGTCTGTCTGTCTGTCTATCTATCTATCTATCTATCTATCTATCTCTGTCTGTCTGTCTGTCTGTCTATCTATCTATCTATCTATCTATCTATCTCTGTCTGTCTGTCTGTCTGTCTATCTATCTATCTATCTATCTATCTATCTCTGTCTGTCTGTCTGTCTGTCTATCTATCTATCTATCTATCTATCTATCTCTGTCTGTCTGTCTGTCTGTCTATCTATCTATCTATCTATCTATCTATCTCTGTCTGTCTGTCTGTCTGTCTATCTATCTATCTATCTATCTATCTATCTCTGTCTGTCTGTCTGTCTGTCTATCTATCTATCTATCTATCTATCTATCTCTGTCTGTCTGTCTGTCTGTCTATCTATCTATCTATCTATCTATCTATCTCTGTCTGTCTGTCTGTCTGTCTATCTATCTATCTATCTATCTATCTATCTCTGTCTGTCTGTCTGTCTGTCTATCTATCTATCTATCTATCTATCTATCTCTGTCTGTCTGTCTGTCTGTCTATCTATCTATCTATCTATCTATCTATCTCTGTCTGTCTGTCTGTCTGTCTATCTATCTATCTATCTATCTATCTATCTCTGTCTGTCTGTCTGTCTGTCTATCTATCTATCTATCTATCTATCTATCTCTGTCTGTCTGTCTGTCTGTCTATCTATCTATCTATCTATCTATCTATCTCTGTCTGTCTGTCTGTCTGTCTATCTATCTATCTATCTATCTATCTATCTCTGTCTGTCTGTCTGTCTGTCTATCTATCTATCTATCTATCTATCTATCTCTGTCTGTCTGTCTGTCTGTCTATCTATCTATCTATCTATCTATCTATCTCTGTCTGTCTGTCTGTCTGTCTATCTATCTATCTATCTATCTATCTATCTCTGTCTGTCTGTCTGTCTGTCTATCTATCTATCTATCTATCTATCTATCTCTGTCTGTCTGTCTGTCTGTCTATCTATCTATCTATCTATCTATCTATCTCTGTCTGTCTGTCTGTCTGTCTATCTATCTATCTATCTATCTATCTATCTCTGTCTGTCTGTCTGTCTGTCTATCTATCTATCTATCTATCTATCTATCTCTGTCTGTCTGTCTGTCTGTCTATCTATCTATCTATCTATCTATCTATCTCTGTCTGTCTGTCTGTCTGTCTATCTATCTATCTATCTATCTATCTATCTCTGTCTGTCTGTCTGTCTGTCTATCTATCTATCTATCTATCTATCTATCTCTGTCTGTCTGTCTGTCTGTCTATCTATCTATCTATCTATCTATCTATCTCTGTCTGTCTGTCTGTCTGTCTATCTATCTATCTATCTATCTATCTATCTCTGTCTGTCTGTCTGTCTGTCTATCTATCTATCTATCTATCTATCTATCTATCTGTCTGTCTGTCTGTCTGTCTGAGTATCTATCTATCTATCTATCTATCAAACTATCTGTCTGTCTGTCTGTCTGTCTATCTGTCTGTCTATCTATCTATCTATCTGTCTGTCTGAGTGTTTATCTATCTATCTATCTATCTGTCTGAGTGTCTATCTATCTATCTATGTCTTCCTGCCTGCCTGCCTACCTGCCTGCCTGTCTGTCTATATATCTGTCTGTCCGTCCGTCCGTCCGTCCATCCGTCCGTCCATCCATCCATCCATCCATCCATCCATCCATCTATCTGTCTGTCTGAGTATCTATCAATCTATCTATCTATCTGTCTATCTGTCTATCTATCTATCTCTGTCTGTCTGTTTATCTATCTCTCTGTCTGTCTGTCTGTCTGAGTATCTATCTATCTATCTATCTATCTATCTATCTCTGTCTTCCTGCCTGCCTGCCTGTCTGTCTGTCTGTCTGTCTGTCTGTCT